GAAATAAGTATTGTATAGATGCTCCCAATTTCAAAATAAGCTATTTTGCAATAAGCTACAGAACTGATGTAGCTCAGTTTCCATCTTTTCAAGATTCCACCTGTTCTGAACTCTAATTCCATCATGGGTGTGGCACATCATGATTTGTATACACTCCCATCAGCCTCCTGCAGTGTAGGTGCCCCAGATGATGGCATTAGAGTTCAGAACAGGCAGAATCATGGAAAGGTTTAAAACAAGTGATATAAGAACCAATACTGAGGTTCTGTATGCTACGAGGATCTATTAAAAGCTCAGCAGATACTCTACTGCCTGGGTTAAGTGCAGTGATTTTACAGAAGCCTGAGGATTGTTGGCAACCAGTGGCATATGTATCCAAATGATTGAATGAGGCAGAAACCAGATACACCCAGATCAAGAAAAAGCTTAGAAATATCACTTGCCAGTGAGAGATTCAATTCATATATTTATAGACAAAGAGTGGAAGCTGAAACAGATCACAAGCCCCTGGTAGTGTTATTTAACAAACTGCTAAATGCCTGTACCTTAAGGATTCAAAGAATGATGATAAAGCTGCACTGGGTGACTCACATACCCACTAAATTCACATTCACTGCTGATGCATTTTCCAGAACAGGGCTCCCATGAAACCAGAGACGACTTTAGAGACAGAGATGCAAGTAGGTTTGATTGTAAATTCCCATAGCTAAGAGGAAAGTAGAACAAATAAGAGAGGAGAGGTTACCGCCACACTACTCTCAAGTGAGTCTTTACCACTCACTTTCCTCAAACACCTCTTCTCCAGGCAGGTTAGCAAGTCTCCATGAGTTTTTCAGGACGTTTAATCTCCCGCTCTGATCTTCTCAGTATCAGCTTTTCTTTAGAGTCTAAGTTGTTCTCTTGTTCATTGACAGTGAGGATTTCACCCCTAGTGTTTGAAATATGCTGAGTTTCCTTCATGTTCTTTAGCAGACATCCTTTTCTGCCCAGCTTACATTCAATGAGAAACAATGGACATTATTTTCCATAACTGAATTCTCTGAGATTTCTTCCTTCAGTTATTACTTTCTGCAAATATTATTAAGTGCTTTGATAGTCCTATACATTATCCTAACACACCACTGAATGTATACTTATAATAGTACAAATGTTGTGATAAACATTAACAAGGTTTACAACTCAAAGTCAACATTTCAAAATGTATGATAAAGAAGATATTTTCATAAGCAGTGATGAGTTTTTAATTCAGTTTTTAACAATGATATACAGAAATATATGAGTATTGGAAAAGTGGTTGGAATCATTCACCAAATATTTGTCTTACATTAGAAAGAAGCATAGAGGCCAGATTTACTATTTTAGCTAGAAGATTTAATGTGACTGCCCAGAGGTGCATGGGAGGAGAGATGCAGATATTCTGGGGTATACTCTCTCCTCCCAGAACCTGAGTTTGGGGTTGACGTTTGAGCCCGAACGCTGTGAAGCAACTTTATTGCATCACGTTTTCCTGCATAGCTGATCAGATATTAGCTCAGATTCTATATTGGGAAGGAATGTAGTGGCTCTAGGATCAGCATCCCACACAGCTCTCCAAGCTCCACTGGTTTCAGTGCCCTAACCTCCTGCTTCCTCTGTGTTCCCTAAACCTCTTCCTCTGAAGGGAGCATCCAAAAAAACCTCAGTGAGCTTAGTGCTGCAAAGAGTTTCCTATGTTTTTTCTCTTTTCCTGCAGGTTTTTCTTCATGGACAGTTACAGTGTGGCTTGCTACCTCAAACCAGTTTGTGTGTGTGAAGTTGTTCCTTGGTAGGCTTTTCATGAAGTTCAGCTCTTTGTAAAGTGTCTGTAGTCACAAGCACAATATGAAATGGAAATGTGTTTTGTTTTATATTCTTTGTTGGTTTCTTCTATGCAAGTTGAGACAAAATCTACTTGAAACAAGAGCAAATTTGTCAAACAAATTTTTTCCTCTGCAAAGTCCCATGTAGAGAGGGAAGACAAAATTAATTTCATTATAAACACTGACTGCATTGCAGAGCAGTGTCTACAAAAAGTTGCGACAAGTTTAGCACTTATGCTGGATAACGAGGGAACTAATTAAGAACTGAGTTTTTCCAAACTTTCTCCTTAATCTCTTGCTATATAAATCAATAAAATTCACAATGTTTTACTTGTGTATATATGCACATAATAAACAAAGGGCCCTGTCCTACTGCCCTTACTCTTGTGAGGAGGACGATTCATTTCAGAGGGACTACTCATAAGAGTAAATGCTTCAGGTTCAGATGGAAACATTGTTACAGATACTCACAGTTCAAACATACGCCACTTGAGCCCAACTGGCTGGGGGGATGGTTCTATCCTTGGCAAAGTCTTCACTCAGTCTGCCTTAACTGACTTCTCTGTCACTTCAGGAAATCATCAGTGGCCTATTTCAGCTTGTGTAGTCATGTGTCCAAGTTCAAGGAGAGTTAAAAAAAAATGATACCACATCAGAATGGCAGCTGTCACGATCTGGGTTTTCTTCCTCAGACTTTGATTGCTACCACCAAGCTTCCCACATGGAAATATTACCACAGTGTCCCTCTCCCTCTGCTCCCTTGTTACAAGAAGCCCATTCCCAGGAACAGAGTCTCCTGATAGGTCTGGGGGCTTTTTCTGACCATCACTGCAGTCACCATTCACCACAGCTCCACTCCAGACAAACTTGGAATTTATTATTTACAGTTAACACCCACAAATGAACTTTGGTGCTGACTATCTAGTAGTGAACACTGCACTGTTGACCTCCTTGAAAATATTGTTTCATATTATTTCAGGGCTCCTTTCCATAATCTATGGAGTCCAATGTTCTCCCACTCCAGTCTCATCACTTCCTGGATCTCTAATGAACCAGTCTCTGGGGGATACCTTTCTCAGCAACTTCAGTAAATCTGCACCTTGAGCTGACAAATCTCCACACAGTTGTTCAACAGCTCTTTCGAACAAACATTTGGGGGTCCAGTGCAGTAAACCATCACAGAGTCCTTAGGTTTCAAACCAGTTTCTTATTTCCACTCAGATATTTTACCTCCTTCATGCCTCAGATAAATATAAATGTAGTATATACCTTAATGTTCTCCAGTATAGCATTTTACATCTACTTTGCACTCTTTTTATACTGCTGCACATTGCTGGACAAGTTAGTGAACTGGTTGCTAGAATGTGAATCTTCTGAGTTTCCCTTCCAACTGCATAATTTTACAACATACCCTTCTTTGGCAAACATCTACTGAACTTCATAAGAACACAAATGTTAGAAAGACATACACATTGAGGAAATCTTCACAATTTTCCTGGAAGACAGAGAATATATACTACATTGGACCACTGCATCTGAAAATAGATCTTTTTTACACACACACACACACACAGAGACACATACACACACAGACACATACACACACACTCTCTCTCTCTCTCTCTCTCTCTTCGAATGTTTATGGGGCACAGTTGAGTTTAAAAAGAGAGAGAAAAAGATGACGTTTTGATGATGAGAAAAGAATAAAAAGATTTAAGACTGACCTTTAGAAGAAAATATTTCATTCTAAATGTTTCTTTTAAAAGGTCTGTCTCCACCATTTCTGTAGGTGAAATGTGTTCATGATAATAAGCCGTTTCCTGGAATTTTAATGTCTAATTTATGAGGGGAAAAAAGAAGTTTCTCTCATCTACAAGACAGTATTCAAAAGAGATGGTTAGCAAATACCTTCTATAATGATTGTATAAATGTGAATTACACAAATGAATGTTTCCAGTCTCAAAGGACCCACCACTTTAATTAAAAGGTGAGTTAACTTTCACTTTTATTTGGTTATTCTTATCTCCTGGGGCTAATTTAGGATATTTGTGACACAATAGTATTCATTTATTTTTCTGAGCCATGTTGTATGTTATTTTAAAACTAACATCTATGGTGTCCTTGCTTTTAAATGTAGATTTAGCCTCCCTCTAGATGAGCATTGGTGGAACATCTGTGTTGAAAAGTACAAAAAAAAAATTCACATTTTCTGTGTGAAGCAGGCACAGTGCTGACATTATACTGTCTCATAGAGAGAATTAAAGTGATGCTGATGTCTGAGGGACTGGATGGCTCAAGGGAATGGTAATGTGACATAGAAAGTTTCATTTGATGAAAACCAGCGTGAATTCAGCTCATGCTGATAATGACCAAAAGTCATTATCATTTGACGGCTGTCGAAAAACTTATAAAAGTTATAAATACATTAATGGTCCAGTCCAGTTCTTAGTGATGTGCCCGAATTAGAAGTGAGGAAATAATGCAAAAATGTTTCTGCAAATATAAATTCATATTTCTAAATGATTACGCTCAATCTTCCTTTGTATGTGCTTTCTTTTTAATAGTATCACAAACAAGTTCACTGGGAGGTATGCTTGTGAATTTAAAACAAATACTGGAATATATTTATGAAAAATTAGTCTTAAATTTGTGAATGCAAATGTTTGCTGTGGAAACCTAAGCCCAGGGCTGAGGACAGAAATGACATGCCCCTTAAAAAGGAGCGTGAGTGCGTGTACGTGTGTGCGTGTGTGTGTGTGTCCGTCCGTACATACATAGAAGGGATGGGGCTTTGGAGCAACTCCAAACCATACATAGAAGGGATGGGGCCTCGGAGAGGGCTGGGGGCTAGCCTCCCCCCTGAACTGCACAGATCACATGGCCAGGAACTCCAGCAGGGATGTAGAAGAGCCAGGAGCTCTGGCCATTGTGGTGATAGCAGTGTTGGCAGCCAAGGGCCCTGGGCCTTTTTAAAATCACTAAGGCCTAGGGCTGCTCCCTCTTTGTCTCCCCTCCCCCTTGTTGGCAGCCCTACCTAATGCATGAAGAGATTAGATGAATGCAGCTGATGAAGTGAGTTGCAACTCACGAAAGCTTAATAAATAATAATAATAAAAGGTTTAATCTTAAGGAGCCACAGGACCCCTTATTGTTTTTGTTTAGCACAATTACAGCTCAGTGACTAATTTCATAACTATGCAAAAAGTCCTTTCTGTGTCGACTCCCCCATTGCAGCACTGAATAGTAAGGATCTGAGTCTTTTCATTTACACTGGTTTTAAGTCAGGTAGCTCCATTGACTTCTGTGGCGTTATTCTTGATTTACCTGAGTGAAAGAGAAGGGAGAATCTGATCTAGAAGAGTTTGTCATGAAAGTGAACACAAGCATATTTTGTTGTTAAATTTAATGACAGTCACAACACTTCCAATCCACAATATGTATTGCTCATTATGTTCAATATCATGCCATAGGGAAAAAACAATGCTTAAGGCAAAATGGTTATACCTCTCTAGCCCTGAGCTACAATGACATCACGAATAAACAGTGCATGAAATAATAATAGCCATCAAGGGCACTACATTAAATGTTTGCCTTCATTCTTCATTTTTTAAATCCCCAAATTTAAACAAAAACTAACTAATGAAAAATTAAGACATATAACCATCTAGATTATTCAAGAGGAAAATGGCAAAATAAAAACTATTATAGTCATACATTGTGGTGAATGCAGCAATTTCCTTTCTATTGATCTGATTGTTGACCAGCAGAAAGTAGGGGTAAGACAACCTCTTCAGAGATGATCTGCCTCTTCCTCTGCATCCTCCCCATCCTGGGAAGAGCTTCAGAGAAACAAAGGAGCAGATGATGACACTCTTGTCACCCTATCTTGGAAGTTGGGGCAGGGCAGATAGAACTAGGTAACCATAGAATCAGAGACCTCAGGAGATTATTGAGTCCAAACCCCTGCCCAAAGCACAACTGACCCTAACTAAATCATCCCAGCCAGGGCTTTGTCAAGCTAGGACTTAAAAACTTCTAGGGATGGAGATTCTACCACCTGCCTAGGTAACCCATTGCCAGAGCCGGCTTTAGGAAGTGCGGGGCCCAATTCAAACTGTTTTGGTGGCCTCCCCCACACTCAGGATTTTTTTGTTAAAAAAAAAAAAAACACACACAACAAACCACAACCACACACAAATATCACATCAGATGTAGATCTGATCAAAATGTATATCTATATAATTGAACATTTTCAAAAAAAATGCCATCCTTTATTATGCAAAATTTTACAAAAAATTAAATCAGTTGCCTTAAGTGTAGGTCAAATATTTTCAATTGCAAACTATCCAATCTTTTCAATAAAGTTTAAAGTTTGATTTTTAAAAAGTTACCAGAGAGCACTGCAGTTTTCTGTTACATTGATTTACTTTTTAAATAGCAAAAATGGAGTCTTTGTAAATAAAGTGTCAGTTCTGTGGTCAAATTCCAGACCTTAGTGATTTCAGCAATAATGATTTCACTAGGTAATATGGTACCTCACCACCACTGCCTCCTTTGCACTGCCTTTCAACACACTGCCTGCATGCTGAGTCCAAGGTCAGTCTACACAAGATTTTAACAATGATTTTTGCTCAAGCGATCACTGAGACAAGACAAGTACTCTCAATTGATTCTAGTCAGCTCTGCCTTTAAACACTGGATGTAAAGTGTCAGATATAATTGAGGACTCCCAAATGGACTCTACACCACCAGAAATAAAACCTGTTTCCATCTTCTGTGACTTTCAGTTAGATGTGACTCACTATCCTCTGCTTAGTGTTCAAGTTATGGTAGACCCTAAGCCAGGTCATATTAAGTTCAGGTCTTTAAACTTTTAATCATACAATATGGATTACAACATTTCATTCTCCCAGCTACAAGTCTTAAGTGAATTTCAACCCAAAAAGAGCCAAAATTGTTCACCTTGACACATCAAGTGTGTCTATTGATCTCTGTGGCAAAGTAGGTTGTCTATATAAATAAGGTCTGCTCCTGAAGCCTTTTCCTACAGTTGATTAACAGATGGCAGTAGATAGCTCATTCAGACCACTGGCTGATAATAGTCAGTCACCCTGACCAGTCATTAACCATAGTCATGGACTCACCCTACTCTCCATTGTCTCTATGATTCTCTGATGACAGAAGGAAGGTGGAAAGAGAAACTGAAAGGAGAGACCCCTCTAAATTCACCAATCAAAGAGCAGTATTGCCAACCCCAAAATCACAAGGAATGCCTACACAAAGTTATGAGAATGGTCTACAAATCATAAGATTTTTTTAAAATAAAACATGTTGGATTTTTATTGGCCTTTTGTTTCTTGAGTATTTAGGGTTCATGTTTTAAGCTTTCCTCCTTAACTGTAAGGCCCAGAAGTACAGAGAACTTTTTTAAAATGTTTTGAGACTCATGGTAAAACAATGGAGGAATTCTTGTGAGCCCATGCTTTGCTACCAGTATAAATAAAAAAAACACAATATCTTCTCCACTAAACATCCTAATGAGATACTGCAAATGGTGAACTGAATTCAACAGCTCCTGATATGAACAGGTATCAACCTAGTTTTTCATATTAGAGATGGGTTACTAGGAATCATACACAACAATATGAAATCTTTCCACTCTCAAGTCAGCATATTCACAAAGCACCTATAATTTTGATCCCTGCATTTATTGGATAGTGAAAGAGAAAGGAGGGGCATTAGTGTAGATAAATGTTCAAATTAAAAACAAAACAAACAAACAAACAAAAAAAGCCTGAAGGAATTAGGACTGGGCTCGTACATCTCACTTTCAGAACTGACTAGGACACTTATGACCAGATTTTCAAAGGTGTGTAAAGATCAGATAGATATCTTTGAAGATCCGAGTTGGCAACTGTCTCCTTAGGAGCTTAATTACCTTTGAAAATCTGAGCTTAGATTTCCAAGTCCAATTTTCAAAAATGACTTTAGTCACTCAAGTGCTTTTGAAAATTTTAACTGGGGGCCTAAAGAGACAAAAATAGACAAAAGGCAGGAGATATGGTATTCCTTTTAAAAACATGAGACATCTGTTTTTAACTAAATTTTATATTATTTTTATCCCAAGGGCAACTGACCCCTTCGGCCCCCTCACTACGACACTGCCCCCCCCTCCTGCAGATCTATCATCTTATGCATATGCAAGATCTGTGAGAGCTGTCCCATGAATCTGCAGTTAGTGTCTGTGGTATCTGCTTTTTGGTGGCGACTCAGTGCTGCCACATTCACCTCCAAAGAGGAGGCTTCCGAAAGCAGGCCCTTGCTGCAGACCCCAAGGCATCTAAAGGTCCAGTCTCCTTTCAATGGGCCCACTTCCCAGGGCTCATTGATCTTAGATCTGGCTTCCATCCCCTCTCCAACTTTTGCAAATGCCCAGAGGTGCTCACCTTCCGCCTTATCCATTCCCACCTCATTCACCCCACAGGGACAGTCTCTGCCTCACTTGTCCTAGGGACTATTCTACCAAGACGTAATACAAAGTTTCCATATAAAAAGACGCATTACAAAGCTAAAAACTTCAATGAGAGAATGATTAATACAGAGAAGTGTCTATATCTGCTGCAGGGAGACACCTCTGCATGCCTCCACCCCTCTCCCCCAGAGTCTACAGTCCCATTGCAAAGCAGGGGAGTGGAAGGAAAGAGGCTGAGGACCATCAATGGGACTGAAGCAGTCATGAGCAAGCCATGCCCGGGAACCATTCTCCTGTCCATTGCTGGTGCAGTGTTGCTTCAGGCACACTGAAATGCAGTCACCGCTAGGATGGGCTGGACAGCTGTTTAATGCCTGCACAAGGTTTCAGGCAGGGGGCAGTGCGGGCTGCCTTCCTGCAGGGCCCCCATCAGAACTACTGTGCCCTCCTGGCTTAGGAAAAGAATAAACAAGAGGATTGGAAATTAATCCACCCAGTCTCACGTTCCCTATGCAGGGAATGAGCCGTCTACATTAGGGCCCAGCTGGAGTATCATGTCCAGTTCTGGGCGCCACATTTCAGGAAACGTGAAGAAACTGGAGATAGTCCAGAGAAGATCAACACAAATGATGAAAGTTCTATAGAACATGAGATATGAGGCAAGGCTGAAGAAATTGGCCTTGTTTACCTTGGAAAAGAGAAAACCGAAAAGGGACATGAGAGCAGCTTTCAAGTATCTAAAAAACTATCATAAGGAAGAGGAAGAAAAACTGAGGTTAGGATGAGAAGCAATGGGCTTAAATTGCAGCAAGGGAGGTTTAGGCTGGACATTAGGAAAAACTTCCTGCCTGTCAGGGTAGTTAAACACCAGAATAAATTGCCTAGGGAGATTGTGGAATCTCCATCACTGGAGATTTTTAAGACCAGGTTAGACAGACACCTGCCAGGGATGAGCTAGGGCAACTCAACATTGGAAGCCCCAGGGGCCACACTGATACTTACAGAACATGCTGAGGGCCTCAACATAAGTGTGGTTGAATATGCAAGCAAATATATACAGAGCGTCTCTCACACTGACAAGCATGAATACAAAGATTAAGGCAAGACTACACAACACACAAGCCCCATTTAAGTCAGTTCTGCTGATATTAATAAAATGCAATATTTACCTGATTTCTACCCATGTGACAGCACTTTTCATGAACAATGACAGTCCAAGAATTTAACTCCAAAACACATATCAACAGAAGATCATTACACTGACTACTTTTTTGTATTGGCTCCCACTCACTGGCCATGTGTTGATCCCCACATAAACCCAAACTACACCGCGGGGCGCAAACAAACTGGCTGTGAGCAGCATACCAAGTTATTAATAAATGTTTTAAAACTTTTACCTGTTCTCTTTGCTGCCATGTCTCCTCTCCTTCCTCCATCATCTCCCCTGGTGCCTGCTGCCCCCCAACTCCTCATCCTCTTCTACTGTCCTGACTCCTGCCCTTCTCACTGCCCTCAGCCCTCCTGAGTCCTGCCCCCCTCCACAAGCCCTTCTCTCCCCACTGTGCCCACTTCTTCAGGAGCCCCACTCTGATCAAGTGAGCTACACTTCATCATCCCCTCTTCCAAAACCTCCAACTACACACCTACCCTCCCTCTCTCCTCTGGTGCTGGTCCCTTCCCTGCAGGTGTCTGCCCTTCTGTTTCACCCCCAGAATCCCCTGGCACCTGCAGCTTCCTTTAGCCCTGCACCCTCCTGGTGCCTCCCCCTTCCCTTACTGCCCCCTTTTTCCCTGAGGCCCACCCCCTCACCACTCTCTTCCCTGTTCTCCTCCTGCCCCTGTGCCCTCACACATGACTTCCTCCATCCCCACCTTTCTCATGCCCACTCCTTCTTTCAAGCCTTCTCCTAGCACCTCCCCTTCTCCCTCTAGCCCCCAATACAGTTCCCCTCTCTTCTCCTCTCCCAGCATCACCCTGTCCTCCCTCCCACTGACACCTCCCCTCCTGCCCTTTCCCTCATTATCTGCACTTGACCCCCTGGCATTTGTCTTTTGGTGTCTTCCTGTTTCTTCCCCTTCACCTCCCCACAAGCCCCTTCTCCTTGTTTTGGGCAGCTGTAGGCGGTGAGGGGGAGCCACACAAAGCCGCACATGGGATGGCCTGGGTCTGGGGCCGGGTGTGGGGATGCACGGGGGGGGGGGGGGGGGCAGGGGAGGGCGGGGCCTGTGC